CGACGATGCTGTCAGTGGTCTTCATGGTCACCAGCACCACAATTGCAAGGGTAGAAGCAAAATGAACGATGCAGGAGGCGTGGCTCTTTGCCCGCCTACACTTGGAGTTCATGTCGAAGGGCTCGACGGAGGGATGACCCCTCACTGTCTAGCTTCATGGTGAAAATTCGTCGTGAGGTTTACAACACCAACGCAAGCAGTGATTGGCTATTGTTAATTCCTTGATAAGGGTTATGTGGACATTGTCATGTACACGACCAAAGCCGACGAGGGCCTATTTGCCTGTGAAGTGATGGATATTCAAAAAAAATGAATCTCTTCACACAACCTTTGAATTTCGTAGTGCTGACAGTGTTACCTTCATTTCGAGTTGTCGTTAGAAACCAGCTGCTCATCGATGGATATTTTTCTCTGCCCTGGTCATTCTTTTCGTAGGTTGGGCGTCGTATAGGTGGGCGTAAAGGCGGGCGCTGTATATTGAGCGTCGCACCTGTACTCCGTCTCCGTCTAAATCTTCTGCATGAATCCTGCAAGGGCGGGTTTACAATACAACCCGAGGAGCGAGCGGGACTCGACTACGACCCGAAAAGCGAATTCGGAGTTGGAAATGGACCAAGAACAACAGTTTGCTTGTATATTGCCAAAATCTTATAATATAGGCTTAATTCAAGTGTTTTTTATCGTCATCATCACCCCTATAGTCTCAGAACGGCTGAGGGGCACTGCATCTGCGATCGCGCATAAGCCATCATCTGGTGCGAGATGGCTGGCTCTTCCTAGAAAAAATGTGTCAACACTACACTGCGAGCGATTTGTGGGGATGGACCGTCGATTCTAGTTGAACCCAGCTCTTGTATTGACCTGTCATGACCATATTATCCTTGAAATCTTACGGTTCGGGGCCTCTCAGCGTCATCCAGGCCTTCGACGACAATGAAGAGAGACTCGCCGTATCTGCACCTACGACGCCTTGAAGAAAGTTACAAAGCCATTGGGGGCTAAAATTAGTCATGGCGGTGCTAATTTGCGGGATTTTAGCTCGGGTTTCCCCCCCTGAAAAGGCTCAACTTCATCAGTCCCGCAGAAGTATAAAGCTGAGCGAATTTCCCACCTTTCAGTAAGAATTTTTTTACCACTTCCTGCTCCCTTAAAGGTTGATGCCATTTACGAACATTTGCTGAGTACCCTATAACGTGTGATTATCTGGGGTCCCGGTTTTGAGGGTGTGTCCCCACGGGTAGCCCCCAATAACTTTGTGTCTGTTAGACTCGAGGTATCGTTGTCGTTCCTTAATAGTCTTCATCGAGTTGGTGATGCGGCGGGGAAGTGGCCAGCGTTGTCTTTTAGGGCGGCGTCGATGAGCCATGGACCTGCTGGCAGCCAGCCTCCTAGGGGTCTGGAAGGTGAAACCTGCACTTGATCATCGAGTGTGGAGTAGTCTTCGTAGACGGGCAGCCGGTTAGCTGAAACGAACGCACATGTTCAGTACGTGAAGCCGGCCATATCGTCTTAGCTTATTGGGGATCACTGATGACTTCGGTCGTGCTCCTTTTTTTTGTATCTTTTTCACCGTTGTAGGGGAAGCTTATGTTCAATATCTATATACTTTAAATACAAACAATGAAGATTATGAAAGTCACTAGCAGATTTAATTTCTGTCCACAATTGTAGATATTCCATTCAGTGGATCTCCGAGAGACTACGACCGCGTGCTTGTGTTCATTGAAAGGATCCATGATGTCAACAATAACGACAATTCAACATGGTCGATAATATACGTCAATTCTCGTTTCAAGACTCTAATACCATAAAAATGGATGCGTCGCTTTGTAGACGATGACGGGTTGGTTGTTGATGCTGCTGAATCTCCAGTATAATGGGAGAAATAAGCAAAGTGTGCATGTTGAGAAAATACCAATACCAAGAGCAAACGGATTGAATGATATGGGTTATAGGATATATGAAATCAAACTTTGCACCACTTGGTTTAGGTCAAGCGTAGTAGGCAAATACTTAAATGTTGAGACATCTCACGATCTGCAGATCCCCTAGCCAAGCATCTTGTACTACAGCTCAATCGCACTAAATACGATAAGACATGGTACATTAGAGCTCGCGCATCGCGTTGACGACGAGCTTGTGAAGTAAGCGCAAATCAGCACTCAACTGGTTCCTTGTCCTCTTAACCACTTTGTCGTACGCATATTGGTTCTTTGCCCCTTCTAGTAATTGGCAATCCCTTACCAGAGTCACCTTCGGCTTTAGCTCACTCCGCACTTAGACGAATTCGTGCTGGCCCCCAATGGAGCTACAGGCAAACTTCAACACACCAATCTAGGTTAGCACAGGCGTAATCAGCGTACCCCGGAACCACACTACCTCCAACGCTACCAACAGAATGCGTGACCGACCTCTCTCGAAAGCGGGCTACGGCAGAAAAAAACAAGTCTCCCACTAAGTTAACAGAGTGTTAGGCTTGAGAAGATGATTCTGTTGTATTGAAAGATATTTAGCTGTATTTATAGGCCAAAAGCTAAGTAATAGACTAGCTAGCTGAGTAATAGACCAGCCAAAAAGAAACGTGGGGGTAAGGTCGGGACTTAGCTGGTCGGTCTCGATCGCTGATGATTACTCATCTGCATCGGTACTCCGACAATGAGGACGGTCCCGTCCTCATAGACAGCGTCATCCTAACACAGAGTAACTCGATGAAGAGGAAGGAAGGTAGCCACAAGAGCAAAAAAGAAGCCCAATGCGGGGCTCGAACCCGCAGCCTTGAGATTAAGAGTCTCACGCTCTACCGATTGAGCTAACCAGGCAACCTGGAACAAAAAACGCGGAGGAGCGTATCTGAATGGGAGCTCTATAGTAAGTTTTGTTTCCTGAGGGTTTTGTATCGATCTTTACAATGTTTGATTACGCTAAACAATTAAAACAAGTATACAATAAGTTAAACAACTATTCAAAAAACTATTAGACCATCACTTCTTCCAGAATTCCCCAAATCCTGGTTCGCTAATTCTCTGGTATCGATCAGTCGTCCATATTCTGAACTTTTTGCCCCATAAAAGCATAATGATGTAAGAACCATTAATAACCAATGATAACATGAACATGAGCCAGGTCGTTAAAACCAAGCCACAACCTTGTAGCCACGGGTCAATCGCAAAACAGAAGGCCATACCTATCAAATTCCTAAACAATAAAATGATGACCAACGCCTCAGAACCCACTTTGTGATAAGAATCGACAGCGTACGTCAAGCAGATGGCCCCCGAGGAGCTCATCGCAAACCCGAGGCACCCATAACCGAGCACAACGGGGATTGCCCAATGAACGCCAGCGTTGCATCCGAGTCCGTAAGCCAAGAGACCACCAGCATTAGTCAACAAAGGTAACCACATGGCATGAAGCCGCATTTCAGGCTCGAAGATACCATTATTTTTTCTTGCTAAGCGAACGGACAACCAATCAACGTAATTACCTCCATAAAGCATGCCGATGCAGCAACCGACAAATGGAGCTAAGTTTGTAAGTCCCACGCCGTTAGGGGAAAAGTTGTACGGCTCAGCAGAGAACACTAATGATTGAGTTACTGCCATAAGTTGCAACCACATAATCTGAGCGCCATAAGTTAAGCCTGACCAAACAATAGCAGGGAAAGATACAAGAAGAAACGGTCGAAAGAAGATAACAAACCATGACCGTGGATCGCTGTATTCTGTTTCGATCAACTTAAGCGAATCTTTGTAGGTTCGCTTCTCAATCGTTTGGTCAATCAGATCTGAACATCCCGACACGACTTCATCGATGTATTCGGGACTCTTTTGGCGAGTTTCTTTACCATGAGTCAAGACCATCGACTCATGCGACTTCACTATGCTGATGATTTCAGCTTCCAATCGATCCTCTTCATCATGGTCTCGATTGAAAGTAGTATCGAACATGAAGAAAAACTGGATGATTATGAGGCCAGCGTAGATGAACAACTGGATCCAGAAAAGCCATTGCCAACTCATTGCTTGTACAACAAATCCAGCAGCTACAGGACCCAAGTTAGATCCCGCGTACAATGCTAGAATCATCAAGGCAAAAGCCGTACTCCGCTCATGCTGAAAAAACACATCAGTACTAGAAATTTCCACCAAGGAGTCGACGGGAGCGGCAGCAAACCCTATCATGATGTATGAGCCTTGAATGTACAGGACATTCTTACCGACACCACCAACAACCATAGCGAGCATCACAATCACTGTACACAAAAGGTAGACAAACCGGCGGCCCACCTTCATGGCTGTAGGTTGTAAAAATAAGCATCCGAGCCCAAGAAATAAGAATAATAATGCGCCCGCGATATTCAATTGGTTGTAATCAGTGTGGAGGTCCTCGATCCATGGCTCATAAGCGGGACCACCGAAGTTTGCCAGCACTGCCAACATGAAACCCCAAAACCATAAAAGGCCAAACTGGAAATACTTTTTCCTTTGTGACCATCTCAAAGGATCATTTGGATTGCTTGATGGCTGAGGATTCAAGATAACATTCAGGTTTTTCCCTTCTTGCTTCTTAACGTCTAGGACGTTATCGACATCGACTAAATGGACGGTACCGGGAGCGTACACGTAGTCCTCTGTCATTGTGGCAATGTCTGATTATTGCTGGTAATTTTGATCGGTTATATTCATATCTTCCATGGAGTCTTGGTAGTGGGACAATTCAGAGTCTAACCCCTCACTGGTAATGCCGAAAATGTTGTGTACAGGAAGTGTGGGGAAACGTAAAACTCCATTGCAACCCACTTGTCTGCTCTATATTATGGGAAAAGACCCAAATGTACACGATTTCACAAGCACAAATGCTGTCAATCTAACGATATGAGTATCATTGGGGACTAGCCTACGAATGTGCCATGCGATGACGGTCTCTCACTTGTGACTTGTGAAAGTGCGATAGCCGCTTAAGTTCTGCAACCAGAGGCTCATAACAGGTACAATTTTAGCTCGCCGCGAATTATAGGGATTCGTGTTCCGCTTACCGTCTTACAAAAACTGCTATTTGATTGTAGAGAATATCTGGCAAAGCGTGGATGAAGCCGAAATAAGATGATCGATTTTTGCTCCAGTGGATTTCGTTGTATTTTATTTTAGCGTGTCTTAACACGATAATCACGTCAAGGGACCTTTCGCACGGCTGGAGTTACCCAATTGGGGTGTGGAGTCAATGTTGTGCACGGTGGCATTGAAGGCGGTGAAAATAGTAAAGTGATCACGGATCAAGGGATCGGGACACTCCGAAAAAATGCGACGCTTATTTCCAGTTATTCGGGCGGTGTGTCATCACCGACAACTATCGGTACTTGGCAATCAATGACCTGGTGCGCTTCAACATAGAGAGATATGCTCAATAGCTGATGTTGTAGGGCCTCACGATCAACCCTTGAAACACACATTCTGAAGTTGTATTTCTTTAGCCATTTATGAAGTACGGGTGTGAAGATTATGCCTGGAAAAGTAGAGATTTGAAAATGCAATACAGCTTAGTTTTGAGCCTTGGGCGTCCGAGATCCATCATCTGTTATTGAGGTACAAAATGAAAAATTGAGTGGTGACCACGACGAGACAGTCAAGCCAGAGCGGACTAACTTCAAAAAGAATGCGTCAGCTACAGGATTCGAACCTATGCGCTCAGAGAGCATGTGATTTCTAATCACACTCCTTAACCAACTCGGACAAACTGACGGATTGACACTTCTCGACCATTGTTACACAAAGGCGGAGCTATACTCACGCAAGTCGATCCTCCTGTGGAGAAGGTTGAATCATATTCACGTTGAGTCTATCCTGAGCATCCTATGTTAGTGACATATCCTATTAACCGTCGTCAGTGCTCTCCTTTGAACAATTGATTGCACCATTTTGGTGGAATGAGCCAATCTCATTGGAAATTTTGTTCAGGAGTTTACAGGTGAGAACGAGCCACTCCAGCAGGCTTATTACATTTGTGTAACATGAGGATTGTAGATTTGCGGGACATATCAAATGTGTCAAGGCCGAAACAAGTATGACTTGCTGGGCAAAGAAGTCTACGCAAAATAGGATACCATCATCGCGGCCATTCGTTGACCACAAGATTCAATTCGTTTTCGTAAGATTAGCGCACATAGTCATCTTGAATAACATACAAGCTGTCAACGAAGTGTTTAATTCAAAGTTTTGAGCCACGTGAAAAATCGCAGTTCATCAAGCTAGGGGTTCATAGTCCAAAAACATACAAACTCAACTGAAATTGAGTAAAGTAAGGTCATAAAGCCAAAAAGAACAGGGGCGAGCTGGGAATCGAACCCAGGGCCACACCCACCCTAAGGGTGTATCATACCACTAGACCACACGCCCGATTTGCGAAAAACCATGTGGCTTCAGCTATAGTTGATACATAACATCTGTAAAAATGGCGAGTTTTAACGATTTTCAATGCTTTTTTCTATTGCTGTATGATGAATTATGTGATATGCGTGAAAATATTTAGTAGGAAATCTATAAGAGTGCCGATATGCCAAAGAATGTGACACAATGCTTGATCCTTTGTAGTTTCTCATGGAGCATGAGACTTTCGTATGGTTTGTGCTATCGGATATTCTTGCTAGATATTAAGGAGCGTATTAGAACACATGAATCTTTCGTACACAGATCATATGTGGCCTGCGACGAACGAGTATGAACCTATCAGTCGAGTAAGCTGTGCACGGACTGCCACTTGAGTTGATTTTATCACTTGAACCAAATTCATGGGACAACTTTGGTAAATTTGGCACGAGAAGTCTTAGACCACTTAAAGTGCAGTGTATTTTTATAGGCAAGGTTATCGACGTCGAATACATCAAGACTGGTGACTTTTTGAGCTCCGAAACTGGAACGTCGCCAATGGGAGCTGTTAGGCCCGAACTACCTTTGTTAGAGCTGAAAAGCATTCCTTACCTATATAGCATTATCCGCCTGTCATCAAAAGTAATGTCTTCGTTCTGTCGCGTGCGATGCCAAGTTAGCCCTCCTTATTACGATCGCTGCCTCACGCTGTATGCAAACGAACACTCCCCAACAAAATTCAAATATCATCATATCCATTACGTCCGATCAATATGCACATACATTCTACTATACTAATGGGTTACATATCCCCAAAACTTGAACTTCACTATGTGCGGTCTTTTTGAAATTGCATTTTATTTGGGACAACACAATTCAAGTTTATAATAGCGGTATGCCGGAATATAGACACGCAGTACACCATACGTTGGCATGCTAATGCCATGCCGTCCTCGGCTGACTCCGACTGGGCACGGCAGCCGCCGGTCGCCCCTGACCGGGGCGCGTCCGCCCTCGATCTTATTCGACCGTTGCATTTGCCAAACCTTGCCTTGAAACATCACGTGATTCACACCTAATCGGTACATAGCCCCACGAACCCCCAGCCATGGAGGTCGTGAACTCATTTACTTAATTAGTGGATACTAACTTCCGATTGAATATATACTGTTTGCCTAACTTACTTTCGGTAACTCCTGGCCATGAGCAGCTCCTTACCGGCGGGGTCTTCCGACCCTAGAGCCAATTCTGGCCATTACCAATGACCGTGGGACTGGAAGTCCAAGTACGATTCCTAAGGCAAAGACAAATTCCCAAAAGTTTCAAAGTACCCGCCCTGCTTTCATGATCCTGAACGTCAGTCAAGAATTTCATCTTCACCACATGCGTCGTAGGTGAACTTGTCACAATGTTCAGACTGCCCTACCCCAGTAACGTCCTGTTCTACAAACGAAAAAATCACTCCATGCTATGGATTTAATTGATCATGGTGGCCACTGAATTTGGTGTTGATGAACTCGTTTTGCATGCAAGTTGAACAAATGTAAATCGCGTTTGACGTAACTGATAGTGTAAAGCCCTCGTCTCAAAGTTTCACACCATGAACATTACGACTATGTGTGAGTTTTGTCTACAAATATTAACTTCGGAAACACGTTGATTACTTAGCAGCCAACTTTCGCTGACAAACTTGTGTGCTGTAGCCTGACTGGTGCAAAAAGAGGGGTTTTACGTTCTGCCACCTAATCTAAACATCATTTGAAGTGCACATAGCATTGTTGGTATGTACAGATTCAATATTGGGTTTTTGATTACTCGACCTTGTATAGGGTTTGCCCCAAATACTGGTAGTGTGTTTGCGCAATTGATAGTGTTTCAAGCAAATACAAAATGGTAACCGAGCTACAGACAAATCTCTCATATTTTCAATCGTGGAGCCTTGAAACCTCTTCTATTGATCGATTTTAGGTTTAAACAAATCTGTCATCAGGAAAAGGGGTGAATGTCATAGAGTTTCACGACGAGGCACGCGCCATGAGATCGACAATTAGTGTAAATGGCGTGAGCTTAAAAAAAAGTCAAAGTTGGAAACCTGACTTTGACTGTATGAGCCAAATTTGACAACTTCAAAAAAGAATCTCCCGAGCGTGAGTCGAACACGCGACCTTGAGATGACAATTCCATTACAGTCTCACGCTCTACCAGCTAAGCTATCGAGAGGATCTTGAAAATTTAGTATCGATGTGATATCAGTGATGGTCACTTAGGACAAACCCGCTCAAATCTCAGCAACTTTATTTGTTGGGCTAGCATAGATAGCTGTCAGTCCATCAGGTCATATCGCACTGATTTGCTTTACGATATCTCGCGTGGATGTCACAAAACGAGTGAGTTTCAATCAGGGAAAAAGGGAAAATCAATAGGTTGATCAGTTGGCGTAGAGCTTATGACTAGAATGGAAAAAAAAAATTCATGAAAATGTGAACGGGTTGATTGCCTAGCCTCAATAAAGATTTCAACCACGTTGGTGTAACATAACTAAATGGATTGTTCATAATTCGTAAATTTGATTTTCATATATGTAATCAACTATCCCACAGTGGTTCAACGACCATGTGTTTGTTATTGTCTTCTGGATTGACCCTTCCAATGATAGCGTGGCATGCTGACACGTCTTAAAGTTTGATGTGATCGAAAGCCTCATCAACCGACATAAATCCAATATACCGTAAGGAATTGGGTCTTTCCGTCGACTTCATGCTTAATCACGGTATAGCCGTCGTGTTCTTCGCTCCACACAGCGCCAAACAGACACGACGCGTTTTGCTTGCCTTCCGCTTCGGTTTGCTCGACAATGAACTTGTGCTTGCTGGATTTCTTGGCCAAAAATTGACAAATGCTTTCAGGCGAATCTGTGGCTTGAGCCAAAAGGTCTTCTTCAGCGAATGGTGGAGTGCCTTGGGATCTCAACTTGGTGGCCATGATCGTATAGCGGGAGGAGAGCTGCGATCAATGCGGACGTGTCTATATGCAGAAAAAGGTCCGACGGAGTAATCCGAAAATTGAAAAAAAAGTAAATGGCTACGTGTATGATATTTCTATCCAATTTTGAGTAGTTTTACCGTTCATTTCTTTTTGTCCAAGAATAACTTTCTCGGATGCGCTTTATAGTGTTATCCCGAGATCCGCGTCGTACCTCCGCCCCTCTCTCGCATAAACGATCGCATAAACGAAAAACTCGATAACGATTACCGTGGATGTTGTGGAGACGGAAAGAAGCTGACACAGCGTCGTTGGCCAGCAAGGCCAGCGGCAGCCGGGAAAACACGCTTTCCAAGTGCGATACCGAAAGTCTGGAAGAGCTTGTCAAGCGCGAGACGCCGTTTGATGAGCCGATAAACCCAGTGAAGAGAGCTGAATTCAAGTTGACCTCGGAGCAACAAAAGATGTACGACGATATCGTCGCCTACTTTGAGGAGTATGTTACCAAGGAGTTCCCGATTAAAGAGGGTCTGACGGTAACCCACCCATTCACCGATGAAGAGTTGGCGTGGTTGACCCAAGAATGCTTTTTGCGGTACTTACGGGCGCTGAAGTGGGTGTACGACACTGCTGTGGGACGTATCAAGGATACACTTTTATGGAGACGTACCTACGGGGTGCTGAAACTTGCCAAGCACCCTCATAAGGAGGCGATCACTGCCGACCTCGTCGCCCCTGAAAACGAGACGGGGAAAGAATATATTTTGGGCTACGATGTCGACAACCGGCCGTGTCTTTACCTTAGAAATGGCTACCAAAACACCCAACCTTCTCAGCGGCAGGTACAACACTTGGTGTTTATGTTGGAGACGGTGATCCAATTCATGCCTCCCGGTCAAGACACTTTGGCGTTGCTTATTGATTTCAAGGCGGCGCCAGCGCACATGAACTGCAATGCCAAATTCCCTCCCATCAACATCACTCGTGACTGTATGCACATCCTCCAATACCATTACCCAGAAAGACTCGGGAAAGGTTTGTTCACCAATGTACCGTGGATTGGACACGCGTTTTTCAAGCTTGCGTCCCCCTTTATCGATCCTTACACCCGTCTGAAGACAATCTTTGACGGTAACTTCGGCGACTGGGTGCCTCGTGAACAACTTGATAAGGAGTTCAAAGGTATGCTTAACTTTGAATACAAGCATGACGTTTACTGGCCGAAGATGGTGGAGATGGCCGAGGCAAAGCAGAAAGTATACATGGAGAACTTCGAGAGACTCGGAAAGAAGATTGGTCTCAGCGAGTACGACTTGAGATCGAAGCAAGACGAGTCGGCCTAAGTGCAGCTGCCGTCACCCAAATTAGACGCACACTAATAGACTTTATTAATAATACCATTGCAAAAAATACCATTTAATTTATCATTGTAGATACCTCGTCAACGGTATACATGAGACTCATCCCCACGTTTCGACTCCGGGACCAAATCAGCGCGCGTAATAATCTGCATCTGACTCGCGCCCAGTGTCTTCCACTATTGATGTTTGCAATCACCTTCATAGCCCACGGGGAGCAATTAGCCGACCAGGAAATCCAGGATATCGAAACCAGCATCCTTCCTAAGCTTGATGTGGGGAATTTCGAGAAAAAAGTGTTATCGCCTCGAGCAGTGGACTACTATGTCAACGTCAGCGACCCGCTGAAAGTCTCTCAACAGCTCAAGCAAGAGCAAGGTAAACATGCTTACGATATCATCTTCCAAGACAATGACCAGAGAAAGAACAAGAAGTTGTTCATCTTCGATATGGACCTGACGCTTATCTACCAGGAGGTGATTGAGTTGATCGCTGCCTACGCTGACATCGAAGATAAGGTGGCTGAGATCACCACCCGGGCCATGAACGGTGAGCTTGACTTCAACGAACTGTTACGTGAACGTGTGGCTCTTCTCAAAGGTATCGACGCCACCAACTTGTGGGAAGAATTGAAGGAAAAGATCGAGCTTACCCGGGGGGTGAAGGAGTTGACTACGGCACTTAACAAGTTGGGTATAGTTACCGGGGTGCTTTCAGGAGGATTCATCCCTCTTGCGCAACATGTGAAGGAAGTGTTGGGGCTCAAGTACGCCTACGCTAACACCCTCGGAGTCGATGACGAAAACAAATTGGACGGCACCACCAAGGGGATGATTGTCAACGGCGACAAAAAGGCTGAACTTTTATTACAGATTGCTGAAGAAAATGGCATCGGTCCCAAGCAAGCGGTGGCTGTGGGCGATGGGGCCAATGATTTGCCGATGATGGGCAAGGCTGGGTTTGGTATTGCGTGGAACGCCAAGCCCAAAGTTCAACAAGCAGCTCCTTGTTGCTTGAACACCAAATCGTTGCAGGATGTGTTGTACATTTTGGGTTATGACGACGCTGAAATTTCCTCGTTGACGGCGTAAATAGACACTTATAGAAATTACCATTGAGGGACATCCAACTCCGGTCTCAGGACCACCTTTCCCTTCATTACTCCTCGAACGGCATTAAATAATAGTATTGTTTGTCCCAACTCGATGTCCGAGACTGAAATCGGGCGCTCTTCGATCAACTTTTGTCTTAAAAGCCAATGGCGAGTGACGCCACAAAGGCAACCCAGAGATAACGGTGGCGTCACCCATCTCCCTTCAAAGAATATCGCGATGTTGGTGATAGACCCCTCCATCACCATATCTTGTCCGTTCCACAAGAGCACTTCTTCTTCTGGTTTAAGTCCCGGTAAGCATCGATTGCGAGCTTCAGTGTAATGCCCTCGACGATTGGTTTTGAACAGAGTAAACAGTGATACAGCAATCTGAACGGGATCCAAGTAGACGTCCCAGAGAGGTTCAGTGGTGGCATCAAGCCCCCAAAATAAGTCCGCCACCGGAGGCGTGGCGAACACCTCCACCGTGAGTTCACCCGTCAATGAAAGACTGGCTCTCAATCGATAAATTTGTTCAGGATCATGAGGGGCCATGGCAATATTAAGTTTTTCAAGAAATTCGGCGTAACTAAGTTGCACCTGTTCGTTATCATTAGACTGGGGGAATTGGTGTTCAAAGTAACGCAACGAAAATATAAGTCGAGTATAGTGCTCTTTAATGAAAAGGAAGTTCCGTGCCAGCAGCAGGATCGGTGTATCCAGCGGAGTGGCGCTCCAGAGCTCGACTTGGCGATAAGCATCCGGATCGTAGCGAATGCTGGAAAAGACCCGGAATTCGGGGTCGAGCTTTTCAGGGTAGAGACTTTGAAGCTCAGATTTTATCTCCGCCTCAATTTGCTCAGCATACACAGCGTCAATGTCGGGATCTGACGGGAAGAAGTCGTGGGGTATCGGTGGCATGGTGGGGTTTGAAATGCGTGGTGGTGCGTCGGAACAGCACAGGTCCACTATACGACGGCGAAACAAAGGAGAAACAAATAGGTACGTAACATGAGAATCTGTACCACTATCAATTGATATATCAATTCAAGAGATTCATCACTTTCAGCCTAGGCAATTGCGGCAAATTTATCATGAGCTGCCATCTCCATCTCCCCCGTGGATGTGGCTGGAGGAGTGGGCGCGCCGCGAACGACAAATTTCACCGCGAACACCTCCATCAACACCATGACGGTATACGGAGGGGATGAGATCAACGCGCTCGTGTTGGACCCGGGATCCTGGTATACGCGGTTTGGGTACGCTGGCGATGACTTCCCCAAAGTGATCACGCCGCTGTACTACGCGGAGAAGGAGGACGGGACCAGGCTTTTTGGGGACGAACAATTGAACGTGCCGCGAGAGAACTGTGAAATCAAGTCGATCATCACCGACTCCATCGTCACCGATTGGGACGCTGCGTTTGCCCAATTCTCTCACTATTTCGATACCACTCTTCAGATCGAACAGCCCGACCAACCCATCCTCATCACCGAACCGGTGTGGGCGCTGACCGAGTACCGCCAGAAGATGATTGAGCAATTTTACGAACAATACAATTTCCCGGGGCTTTACCTTGCCAAGACCCCCACCTGTGTTTCATTTCAGCAAGGGCGGCCTAACTGTCTCGTGGTGGATATTGGCCACGATCTGGTCAGCGTCACCCCCGTGGTCGATGGCATTTCCCTCTTGAAACACCTGGTACGTACCCATTATGCCGGTCAGTTCCTTAATGACGAAATTGCTGATTATATGGCAGCCAAGCCCGTGGACGCGGTGCCGTCATTTGAGGTGGCGTCAAAGGAAGTGACAAAGTGGCCCGAGGGCCCCACATTCACCAAACGGAAGGTGCCGAAGTTTTCGGCGCTGTTTGAAGCTTATCATAGAGCTAAGATCTGGCATGAGTTCAAGGAGACGGCGTTGGAAGTGCCGGATAAGCTGTTGGCTCAAGACAAAGACGACGAAGAGTACACTGGCGAGGCCGCCGAGCGTCTCTTTGAGATGCCTACGGGTCAACAAGTGCCGGTGGGCTACGAACGGTTCCAAATTGCCGAATCGGTGTTTGACCCTCACATCTACAAGTTCCAGGACACCGAAAAGTACAACTACCCTGACGAAAATGGCGACTTAAACATCAAGGGTGTTTACGATGACCACCGCGCCACTAAACGACAACGTACCGCCGAAAAACTCAGCGACGCTGCTGCCGAGTCGGACGGTAACACTACTCGCGGGTTGGCTAAACTCATTAGCCATACCCTTAATCTGGTGGACATTGACCTCCGGGCGTCGGCGGCTCACAATATCATCGTGACCGGGGGTACGCTGTTGGTGCCTCACCTCACTGAAAGATTGTACAAAGAGCTTTCCACCGCCAATCCGGGGCTCAAGATGAGATTGCACGCGGTGGGGAACTCGTCGGAACGGGTGAACCAGGCGTGGATTGGCGGTAGTGTGTTGGCATCGTTGGGGACGTTCCACCAGTTATGGGTGCTGAAACAAGAATACGAAGAGGTGGGGGCTGACCGTATATTGACCCAGCGGTTCCGTTAAGATGTAAAAGTTTATGAAGTGGGCTCTGTAATGTGTGTAATGACAAACGATCTATATTAATGAGTAAAAATTGTGCCGTAGTCAGAGGTTACGTTTCGTAATTCAAAACCGCCTCTCAAAGCGTGCGGCGCTTTCTGTGCTTCAAACGAGAGTCACCTTACCTGCAAAGAATGCTGGCTGCCTTAAATTGCTTATAGCGCGGAGGGGGCAGCGACAGCAAAAGATGATAAGAGTACAGCCAACGACGCGGACTCGATATGAGTCAAACACAGTAGCGTGCTGATGGCTTGAGCGAGCTTTTATTCAACCATCCTACATTCCAACAGCTCGTCTCAATTGATTAACCCCTCCCGACATCCGGTCGTGAGGCACCCGAGGTTTTGGGTTTGTATGCACCTTGCCCCACACGCGGCCTCAAAGGTTTTGAATGGGCTCAGCTGAGGTCTGCGACTGCATACACTTACGGCGATATATAGCGTTCACCCCGTGTCACATAATTTGAATTCGACATTAACCCCCGAGAAAGATGTCGAAGGAATTGATTAAAGGCGTGCTTGACTTGGACCCCTGGTTGGAGCCCTATTCCAAGCCATTGATTGACCGCCAGGTGGCGTTCAAAAACAAGCACAAGGAGCTTGGCCTGCTTATCGAGTATGCCAATTCCTACCAGACTTACGGGGTTCATGCTCTTCCCGATAAGCTGATCAAAGTGGTCCAGTACGTGCCTGATGTCAGGGAAGTGCTGATCGTGGGTGACTTTAACCATTGGGATCCGGAGGCTCACAAACTTAAACGTGTCAACGACTACGGCAAGTGGGAATTGACCATTCCTCCGGCCAATGGTGACTTTGCTATTCCTCATGACTCCAAATACAAGTTGTCAATGGTCACCAACCTGGGTGAAAGATTATACAGAGTCGATCCGTGGGTGAAGCGGGCTACACCCCCGGCGCGGGACTCTCTGCTGGTGGCGTACGAAGGGCGGTTCTGGAACCCAACCCACAAGTACCAATTTACCAACCGTCACCCCAAGTTCAACAACAAAGAAGGAATCCGGATTTACGAAGCTCACGTGGGTATCTCTACCCCGGAAGCGGGCGTGGGTACCTACAAGAACTTTACTCAAAATGTGTTGCCAATTATCCTGAAATTGGGATACAATACCATTCAGTTGATGGCAATTATGGAACACGCTTACTATGCCTCGTTTGGCTACCAAGTGACCAACTTCTTTGCCGCGTCTTCCAGATACGGTACTCCAGAAGACCTCAAGGAGCTCATCGATACTGCTCACGGCATGGGTATTCAAGTATTGCTTGATGTTGTGCACTCTCATTCGTCAAAGAATGTGGAAGACGGGTTGAACATGTTCAACGGTACCGACTACTACCTTTTCCACCTGGGTGGCCGTGGTAACCACGATCTTTGGGATCTGAGATTGTTCAATTACAACCATCCTGAAACGTTGCGTTTCTTATTGTCTAACCTCAAGTATTACCTTGACACCTTTCACTTTGATGGTTTCAGATTTGATGGGGTAACGCTGATGTTATACAAGCACCATGGGTTATCGTTTGGTTTCTCTGGTGACTACAACGAGTACTTCAACCCCGAATGGGTGGATGATGAAGCCATTACCTACCTCCTTCTCGCGCATCAATTGTTCGGTGATATTACCAATGAGGATGGCTACAAGATCACCTCAATTGCGGAAGATGTGCTGGGGATGCCGACTCTTTGTCTTCCCATCAAGGATGGTGGGATTGGGTTCGACTACCGTTTGCTGATGGCCATCCCTGATATGTGGATCAAGATCTTGAAGCATTTGCAGGACGAACAGTGGTCGATGGGCGATATCACCTACACGCTCACCAACCGTCGTCATGGGGAAAAGTGTATCGCGTACTGTGAATCCCACGACCAAGCCCTTGTCGGTGACAAGACCATCGCTTTCTGGTTGATGGACGCAGAAATGTACACCAACATGCTGGTGTTGCTGCCGCTTACGCCTGTCATTGACCGTGGTATCGCTCTTCACAAGTTGGCTCGGTTGGTGACGTTCTCCTTAGGTGGTGAGGGCTACCTCAACTTTGAAGGTAATGAGTTTGGTCACCCCGAATGGCTTGATTTCCCCCGTGAAGGCAACCAAGAAAGTTACCACTACGCTAGACGTCAATTCAACTTGATTGAAGATGACTTGTTGCGGTACAAGTTCTTGTTTGCTTTTGACGCGGCCATGCAACATTTGGACCGTGACTACGGGGTGCTCAAAGCTCCTCAAGCGTACGTGCTGCTAAAGCACGAATTGGACAAGTTGCTCGTGTTTGAACGGAACGGGCTCTTGTTTGTCATCAACTTCCACCCGACTCAGTCGTTTGCTGATTACAAGATCGGGGTGGAGACTCCCGGCAAATACAAGATAGTCCTCGACCTGGACCGCGAGGAGTTTGGTGGTCACAACCGCGTTGACGACAACACCGAATTCTTCACCGAACCGGGTACCTGGAACGACCGCGCCAACTCGTTGATGGTATACGTTCCCCAACGTACTGCGCTTGTGTTGGCCAAGGTTGACTAAATCAAAGAAATAAACGTGTCGACATTAAAAAACTAACTAACAAGGATTATTTGATCTCCTCAAACCGCCCCAGATGCTGCCACTCGCGGATCGGGTTGCTAAACACCCCCGTCTTCTCTAAGCGGCCAAACACCACCATCAACTTCTCTGCCTCTCGCTCTTTCTCTTCCTGCAGCATCTCCACCGGTTCAGTCGAGGTCGTCTCCACCAGCAGTTGCGAGTGGGCATGCGTCAAGATCAGCTTAAGCAGCGCGTTGTGAGAGAAGACCAGCTCTGACTCGGCGGGTTCCTCTTCGTGGGCGGCCACCGTTTGGTATTTCGGCCGCAAGTACTGGGCGATATCGAACCCCGGCGGGGTGTCAATATTATTAGCCTCAAGGTACAGCCGGGCGTTGATGTAGCCGATGGCGGTGAGGAACTGGCTGAAGTGTTTGGCGGGGTCCGGGTGGTAGCAGAGCTCGTAGTAGAAGTCAAGCACGATCTGCTTAAGCTGGAGGCGGGTGACTTCGTCGTTAAAGCTGATGTCCAGGTTCACCATCAGCTGGCCCAAAAACTGGAGGATCTGGAGGTACACTGGCGGCACCCCGTTGTCACACGGCAACAAATCCCGCTGGAAGATCTGGACGAGCACGTAGTCCTTTTCCTCACGCATCAGCTTGACGATGAACGTCACAAGCACGAAAAGTCCCAGGATATCGGTGTAGTCGGCGGTGGGGCCGGGGGTGAGAAACGAGCTCACGTGGGTGCTGAGGTGGGTGATGAGGGCGTCGCCAAGCTCGGGCAGACTGCGGCAGAGGTAGCGGATGTCGCGGCGGCGGGCCTCGGGGTGGGTGGTCATGATCACGGTGATGACGTTGCGCAACTGGCGCATCACCATCGGGTGGGGCTCGTCGCCCCAGGTGAGGCGGACGAAGTAGCCGGCGGCGAGGAGCAACGAGTTGTTCAGCGTCACCTCGGGGTACTTGTGATACAACAGGTACATCGCCTTGAGCACCTCGATCACCGCCGGCGGGTCGAGGGAGTGGGAGATGATGTGTTCGAGGCCGCGGTCGACACAGTCGGCGGCGGCGGTGAGCAACGCGGTGTCAACGGTGGCGATGCCGTCGTACAAAATCAAAAACATGAACCGGTACAGCGCCACCAAGTCGTCGGTAGTAGGGGTTTCCAATTGGGAAATGTGGTTGATCACGTGCGCTAACCCTTGGTTAGAATAGTAAGGGGTAAAATAACACTGGTGCAACGTCCGGTTCACCAACAAGATGTTGGCGATCACCGCCAACATGTTCTGCTGGCGCTCGTCGCTGCCGCCAGCGAGCAACGCCGCCATCACCTGCTGGAGGACGGCGTCGTCGGCGGCGGCGCACCACAGGCGGTCGCGGGCGAGCTCCCGGAAGCGCTTGACGTCGAGGGGAGGGGACGACAACGCGCTGGGGGGGGAAGTGTGAACACGTCCTCCAGTATCGTGGTTGGTAGCGTCCAACGGGGCCAAGGGGGCGGGGGTATGG